CTTGGGGTACGACGACAGAGCTACCGCTGCAGCAAAGGGAAATTAAAATGTATGACAAAGTGCGTGCAATAATTCGTGCAAGTTTAATGATTCGCCGCAATGTGGACTTTTGTCCAGCCATCTAATTGCACTAGATATGGATATTTTAATTGAATGAGAACCTTGTCATATTAGTCAGCAACAATTAGTCTTTGCCGTCCGTTAGCTAGCCAGGGATCGCCACACTTGGCCATGCCAACCCATCCCCAGTTGTGGTCCTCGCCTTAGCCAGTCGTGGGGATTTGTTAATCAAATATTGCCGGAGGAGAGTTGTGCCTGTGCTTTTCCTCGGTCAGGTGCAGCTGCAGTCCGTACCAGGTCCAGGGCCAACTGAATCTCTTACTCCATCTCCAGTCTCAGGCCCATAATGGGCAACCAATTAACTCGAGTCGAGTCAACATCAGTTTAATGAACTGCCAAGGATTACATATGTACAGAAAGACGACTTTGACATTGTGACTGTAACTTGCATTGGCACTGGCACTCTGACACTCGGGCTAAAAACGTTCACAAGAACTATACCGCATTCTTCATTATTCGGATCGGTTCAGATCGGTTCCGATCGGTTAGGAATGGTCTTCAATGGCCCTTAATCCCGCACGAAAAGTTGATATCCAAATATTTGTCCATCACACTCCTTTGTGAAGTTCTTGACTCTCGGGGTCCTTGTTGCGACCTAAAGGGGTTCGGTCAATATTTGTCGGGCCACTTGTGATTCCCTCTCTCCTTCTCCATCTCTAGGGAGACTCTCACTCCCACCCCTCCGCAACGTGTGTGTGCCCATTGAGTGATTGCTTTCATGTTTGACTGATTGACTCGCTTCTCCTTCCCCTCTTCTGTTCTGTTTGCCTCCCCGATCGTGGTGCCTGATAAGGGCCCCCGTCCCCTGGTTGGTAAGGATACAGCAGGCACACGTTCATAAATTTTCCGGCAATTCTCTGCTGTGTCTCTCTCTATCGCTTTATCTCGCTGACTGACTCCGAACGGGACTCCGAATCAGATACAAAGTTTCTTTCCTGGCGATGTTTCTTTGTTGGTTCTCGCAGAGAGGCTTCTCTTTCCTGCCTCCTGCATTCTGACTGCTCCCTCTCTCTGGAGTCTGTGTCCCAATAGTCTGGCGCCAGGATGGCCATTAATTATAACGATTCCATTGTTGCGCACACTGAGACCCAGAAGCCGCGCCAGAATCGGATGAAACACTCGTATTGTGTGCTTCGTATAGACTTCTCACTTGGGTGGTGTCCACCTTTTTCGCACAGCCGCTGGAGGAGAGGCGACAGAGTGGAATGAAGGGGCAACTGTTTCCCAAATAGCCGCAAAAGGTCAAGAGTGCCGCTGCCGTTGCCACAGAATTCATTGACAATTAAAAATGCTTCATTGTCCTGGCTCTGATCACTTTATTGTCCTGGCCAGCTGCCTCTATCCACAACCAGTTCATATACCATATACCAAGTAGCAAATACTCCTATCCCAATATCCCCTTTGTCCTACTGAATTAAATACAATTGTCGTTCGTTATTTGTTTAGCATTGTAAAGTGGGCGCGTCTTCTTTGATCTGTGTGCGAAGGGACTCTTTCATATTTTTTTCACTTTTTGTTTCTCGGTTTTCGAGTGCAGTTTTTCTATTCCTCCGCTGTACAATTGATTCCCATTTTGCAATTGAAAACACCTTTTGACCTTATTAAGCGGAAAACGCTGCCAAATGGGATGAGGGAGAGGTGTGTGAAAACGCCAAAACCCGGACAAGGGCTGGCTCATTGTTAAGTGAGCGTAATTTATTTGGGTCAAGGCGCCGCCTTGACGGGTGCTGACTTCAGTGCCGATTCCAGGACCAATCGGACCTTGGTCAGATGTTCAATGAAAGGCTAAATTTTTGGGGAAGTAATTTGAAAATATTGCAGAAATGGTTGCTGTGCTCATATGAAAAATCATTCCAACTGACAGCTAGATAAAAATAACATTACTTTGAGAAACTATACTTAAGCTCGAGAAAATTAATTTCATAATACAGGGGTTATGGAATGGATTTTGGGGTAGCCTACTTCCTCTCAAGGGTAAATATTCCTTTAAGTTTTTATTTTCGCTGGAAATTTCCTCTCCCTGCGTCCATCGCCGTTTCGATGGCGTCAGCAAATCGAGTGCAAGATCGAGATCAACCTCGGATTTTGCATCTCAACAATTATATTAAATCCTATAGCGGGGAGCCAAGAGAGGTGGGGGATTGGTAAAGAGCAGCTGCAGAAGCAGCAGAAAATAGAGTGCTCGATTCCGTGAATGGAGAAACTGCTGAGACTTGAGGCTTGGGCAAGAACCGACAGAGATTTTAGCACCTAAGTAGAGCCATCCACCCCCCTTGGGATGCCGATTCCCATAAGCTGCTTGTGGATGGCTGAGCCAGCAGTTCCAGCTCCGTGGGAGAATCGGAGAGAAATGGAGAGTTCAACTCTAAAACCCAGCAGAAGGGGAGACGACACTGAAAATCGTTTTGCAATCGCGATGATGATGAGGAGATAATAATGATAATGCTGATGCTGGGGAACCACACGAAACACCTCCTTGGTGGGCGGGCAGCTCATTGCACAAGCCCTCGCTCTTTGACAGTTTTTTTTTTTGGGATCACTCAGGGAACATAAATGTAACGCCATTATCTAAAGAAATCTGTAGCGGAAAACATAACTCAAAAATACACACGGCAAATACAAGTTAAAAATAACAAAAACGAATAAAAAATACAGGGGGAAAACAAGAAAAACATAAATGAAATAAGATATTTTAAATTAATTGTCGGCGAGTTAGACCGGGGCCAGGAACGAGGAGGGAGCCGAACCAAAAAACAGTTCTATGGGGACAGCTCCCTGCACGTGACCGGCCACGCTACGAGCAGAGTGAGGAGACTGAAATGCGAAACAAAAACAAAATGAACATTTAGATTAGATCAGAGGCAGGCGCAAAAGTTCATTCAGCAGGAGGCAGGTGGGGCAGAGAACTGAGTCGGAACAGCACGAACAGCCTCGACTTGTGGGATACCCAGCACGGTTACCTTTCTGAATACTTTGAATATTATATACAATTATGAAGCCGAAAATAAGACAAAAAACTACATATCAGCATAAAATATTCTTAAAAAGAAAGTAAATATTTTAAGGAATGTTCAAAGTTTCATACATTTAATATTGCGTGTTTCTACTCCTTTCAAAAAATTGCAAATTATGCAAAGCCAAATGAACTCCTGAACGAATATGGCCGGCGCAGAAGGAGAACGAAGCTGGAGATGAAGAAATTTCAACATTTCTCATAGAAAGACATAATTTTCAATTTAATAAAGGTCAGGCCAATAAAAACCTATTTAAACTCAGGATAGATGCGTGCTACGTGCACCTGAATGGAGCAGCCACCAAACGGAAGGGTTGCACCAGGGAGCGAACGGGAAGGGAATTCAATGTGCACGCTGTCTGCATGCAAAGTTTCACAGGAGCGAGGGAGATGCCTGGCCATGAATGGGATCGCGCATAGTTGCATGTGCGCCTTGGACCTGGCCAAGATCAGGGCAGAGATCAGAGTGAAAGAGGCTGCAGCAGGGAGAGGACACAATAAAATCAAGGCGATAACCATCTTTAATGGGGGCCCAGGCTGAGAATGATCTCTCTCTCTCTCTCTCTGTCTCTCTATCTGTAGCATATTAAATTGTTGAATCAGTCACTGGGGAAGAACACGGAAAATAAGCGCTGAGCAGACAAATCGGAGCACGTACACAGAGTCCGAAATTAATGACAATTGCTGATTGTGTGCGATAAGCCCGATTCGGGTACTCGGGGAAACCGCGACCCAGCAGCAGCAGAAGGAGGTGGAGGAGGGAAACATCATATCCAGAACTGAGAGCCAAGAGTCGAGTGAAGGTGCGCAAGTAGATCTCTGCCAGGTGATAAGGACTGGATTTTTAAATGGAGATGGAGAATGGGAATAGGAACAGGGACAGGGACAGGGACTGGTAAGGAGTGAGGTATCAAGAGAAGCGACAAAAATTTCTTGTCGTAAAATGGTATTGTGTTTCCCCTCCCTTCCCCCTTTTTGCCTGTTGCTGTGGCCAAACAAAGGTGAGTTAGGATGACCCACGCCGAAGAATTATTATATGTCTCATAAAATATTTGAACAAGTCTATAAAAGCCGCGTAATTCTCTTCTTCGGCTGTAACTGCGACTGCAATTAAAGCCGCCGCAGAGGGGAGATGGTCGTAAAAGGAAATTGTTTGGACACTTTTATGTCTCCCTTTCGCTTAGATGAAGAGCGAGCACATAGAGGTAGAGAGACCATGGTCCAGCTCTACGACGTATGAGCAATGTGCCGGGAATGGATTACGGATTCCCTTACTTTGTGAGCGCTGTAATTGATATGGCGCCAGACAATTAGTTGGAAGGAGGGCCCACACGGGGCGATGAAGAGGAAGATGGATCCCTATCAGGAAAACTGCTTCGATTTTTGTACTTTAATTTTTTCTTGTATTTGAATATGATTTTAAAAAAATCCTATCCTTTACAATACATAGCCTATACATTTTTCGGATATTTAGTCCGTATATAGAGGGGAGACGTACAAGTTCCGTTGGATTTCATTGCTTTGATTGGTGTACATAAGTAAGTGCCAGCATGGGTTCGGTTATATTGCATTGGAATGGAGCTTTACATCTATTATCACAGCATCGTAATACAAGGAAACGGTTGGTAATCGATAAAAGGTGATCTTAGGATCTAGCAGAATGCACGGCAGATCTTGGCGAGCTGTCGTAATAAATAATACAAAGAGGCTTAGATCTATTAAAAAAAAGGAAATGCATGCAATATATCTAGATAATATATATGTATGTCTAGAGATATAAATATAGACATATATATATATCTAATATATGTATATGTACATACATATATATGTATATGTATATGTATATGTATATGTATATTTATATGTATATGTATATGTATATGTAAGTATAATCGAAGGTGGTAGAGGAGGGAGGTGTATATTTCCCCCATGGTTGTCTCTGTTTGATCGGGGACTTAGGTTTTCCATATTCAAGTTTTCATAGCCTGTGACTGGATCGTTTGTGATTTGTGACTCGTGACTGGTGACTCGTGACTTTGATTTAATAAATAGCGAATGGTAAATAAATAAAAATGTCTTGGGATGGTGGAATGAGCCTCGTTATGGAGCGGAGGTTTCTCTGGTTGCTCCCTCTCTTTCTCTGGTTCTGTTTTTTCTGTCTGCTCTCTCCTTCCTTTGGTCTTCAATTCGATTGTGTCCTTCCCCGACCCTGGTTGGGCTGCCTCCGCCTAGGGGCGGTGCCTTGTCTTTGTCTCTGATTCCGGCAGAGCTGCTTGCGCTGTCTGGCAAGGATCTTCCAGGCGTTGTTCAAGTACTGTACGTACTCGAATTTGACGAAGCGTGCGTCCACGGCAAGCTGCACGGACTGGGTGGGCTGCTTGGCGGGCAGGGAGCGGGCTGCCAGTGCCGCCTCGTGGTGCAGCTGGACGAGTGGCGTCTTGAATTGTTGCAGGCGCTTCTCCATGAGCTCTCGGCTCAAGATCTTACTGTGTAGGAGAGGCACGGCCCGCCGGCTGTTTTTTTGGCCCTTACTGGCGTACAGACGGTTGGTGGCGTTGATGGCCACCTCAACACTGCAAAGTACGCGGCGGGCGCTTTTGCGCAGGCGCCCCAGTTCTGCGGACATGACACTCTCGGTCTGGGTGTTGGAATAGTCCCAGTGGAGCTGGGCGTGGCGCAGGTAGCTGAAGGCCCCCACGTAGAACTGCAGATCTCGGTGCACGTGGCGCAGGTTGAGCTGCAAGAGAAGAGGTAGAGAGGGGGAGGTTAGTATGGGAAGGAAAATCTCTTATACCGTTATAATATCTCTGCCGCCCCCACCCCGCCACTTAGGCATTCCTGATAAAAGCTCGGGGTTGATTGAACTCAGCCAGCGCCGCTGCTTGTGTTGACGCTGGCGTCGCTGATGGCGTTCCACGTGAAAGTGAAAAGCGCTCTCAGCTCTGTGCGCTCGCCTAACTAACTTTGCTCTCGTCGGCTCGACTGGCGTCTCTCGTTCGTTTCATTCATGTGCGCGCTCGCTCGTGTTTCGGGGAATCCACACGACTGGTCTTCGCTGGCATGAATCACAGTACGCTCGGTCTTGCTCTCCAGCCCCTCTCACGCTCACTCTTCCACACACGCTGCCTGTAAGAGTGTGTCATTTACAGTACATGAGCGTTGAAAACTGCTCAAACATATTATCGTTAGCTCTTTCCTTCTCCCCGCGCTGACGTTCATCGATCTTGATCACGCTTTGCTATCAGCAGAATACATACATATGTATGTAAATTAAACAACTGCGGTAGCGGATTGTGTTTTTAAAAAGTTTTTATTTTACTTCGAACTTCACTGATATAGATTTAAGTAGAGGGTCACAAAGGAATTCCGGGCCAAGGGATTGCGCGATCTTAATATTTAGCTAGACTTTGCGGTGTCGCTGCTGGATCAAGACTGATTTGAACTTTCTGATCTTTGCATCGTTGATCCCTTTCGGGAATCGTTTTTCTATAAACATTTCAATTGATTTCGCCATCCCGAGTATTAGATTTCGTCATCCAAAGAGAGAACTGTAAAAGGCCTAAAGTGCAGGATCTGCAGAAAGCCGGGAGTGAGATTGTTTATGAGAAGCCGGGTGTGGGCAAACATTGGTTTTCCATTTAGGCGAGTGTCAAAGAATGGGATTGCGGCGGGGGCGCTTGAGATTGTACATCTTAGAAATCAATTAGGCGGAGGCCCAAGATTGAAATTGTTTTCGTTTTGGAAAACCAAAGATTGTTTACAACTCGTATAAGAGCTCAATGGAATTGGGTACGTTAACTCCCCCCATTCTTAAATGTTTCGTCCCGATACATTTTGAAGTTCTGATAGAGCTCTAATTTCTTCTGACAGTATTTGAATGTTGCTTTCCACTATTTCTTCTGACGGTATTCTTATTGATTTAATAAGTACAAATTTGGTTAATTTATAGCAGAAGTAAAATAACATTAACAATATCAAAATGATTAAAAATAATGTTGTTAATGGTAAGGCCGTATTACCTAATGTTATAAGGGGATTTAAAATATTAACATTATCAAAAGAAAATTGCTTATCATTTGATTGTATATAATCAACTAATTCAAAATCGCTATATCTATGATGCGATATATATTTTAGAATTTTACCCTTATCATTTATGTGGCTTATATTATTTATTACAATTGTGTTGTTGAATATAAGGAGATACGATCCTAACAAAGTAGTATTGTCTACGATATTTTTGCCTGAAACTAATATGGCACCATCCTGAATGATGTCTATTTCTTTGTTTTTTTTCCCTTTTTTTAGTGCAGTTGGCTTTAAAGCCATTAAGTAAATTGGTGAAACAGGTACTCTTTAAATTTATTTGTGCGTAATTGTTAAAAGTTTCACTTTTAAAATTATTCATTAAATAGTATTTCTCCTTACATTCACAAACTTTTTCACTTATAACTAACATTCCATCATTTTGTGAGATGGCTCTTGCATGGTAAAACTTGCAAATATCTTTAATTTGAGGATATTTTATGTAAATGATTATTAAATCTGCATTTCGAATTATTTTAACCGTTGCAATGTCCAACAGATCAGACAGTTCAACATTATGTTTTTCATGCTTATAAATGTCCTCTATTTCGTTTTTATTTAAAATTTTTGTATTGAAAATGTTTACTTTTAAGAGGGTTATGGTATCAACTAAATTTAGTAGGTCAAAAGTTATTAATTTTAAACGATGCTTTCTCAGTATCGTTTCTTCATTGAAGATGACATTCTTT